CCACATCCCTCTTCCAGGCCATGTACAGAAGTCTTTGTTTGTACTGGTGCACATGACATGGATGAAGGTTGTGCAACCTTCATTCTGCAAGCATTCCTGGACTTCCTTTCTGCTTGGCTTGCTTCCCAAGACTGGGCCAAACATGTGAGGAAGTCCATTAATGCAGACAGACAGATTTCATGGGCCTTCATCACATTCCTAGGAGAGTTCCTTGGCTCCTTTTCTGCCTGTGATAAATGTTAGATCAGATGTTGATAACAAATATTTGACATGGAAAATGACTTAATTAAATCTTGTTCGCTTTTATTATTCTGCTCCCACTGTTTTAATGTTTTGCCTCTGCTGATATATATTGAACATTACAGTGTATTTCATTGTATCGAATGCTAACAATGCTTTTAATAAATAATGAATATAAACCCTCCAGATAATCCACAGGAAGCTGCAAATGTAATAAAACTTCTTCTAGAGTCCTTTGTGGTTTGTCTAGTTTCTGGTCTAAAAAGCTGGGGTGAGGCCTGGCCACAGTACTATGCTGGAGATCTAGAAAAAGTAGATCTCACCCTAACCAAACTCAGGCCATATGCTCTCTTCTTCCTCTCCAGAAACATCACAAAATCTAACCAACTGTTCTACTAATATTGCGGAAGTATTAGAGGTGGGCAGGTAGGAAACAGTCAACCTGTTCCAAGCAGCAAATGGTAATTTAGTCTGCTATTCTGGCCTGTCCCACCAGTCACCACCTTCTGAGAATGATGTGTCGTTATGCAGATAGGAATGCTAACTTTTCATGGTCAAGACCCAGGGAATTGAGTAGTGCTCAGAAAAGGAACGTAGGAGTGGTACCAGACAGACTATGTCAGGTATTGACACAAACAGAAGTGATCTGTGGCTGATGGTCATAGAACAGTTGAAGGGATGCAAGAGCTGCAAACGGTTTGGGTGCATCTGAGCACAAGTTCCACTGCTTATGCCAGAAGAGTTTCATTACTCTGTTGGCCACTGTGAATGGAATGCTGGACTGGATGGGCCCTCAGTCTGATCCAGCATGGCTCTTCTACAGCTCTAATGTTCAGAACCAGTGGTGCTCCACCACCACAGTGTCTAAAGTTCTGATCTTTGACTTGGCATTGGCATTAGGAAGGAACCACACATGCATGGGAATGGCTGGTGTCTATGTCAATGGATGTTCCTCATCCCCTGCAGCCTTTTTTTCTCAGTTTCATAGGAGGTGTCCACAGTGCTCTGTGGTGATGAACCCATTTTCAGTTCATAGAGTTCAGCACCATGGATAGTTCAAATATAGCTCCTGTAAGGTGCCAAGGGATGAGGGTGCCCACTGATGTAGGAATTCCTAGCCTTCCCTGATACTAAGGGTTCTGCTCTCCCAGTACTGCTTGAGTGCAAGAAATGAGTAAGACTCCTTAGGTGGTGGGGGGAGGGGTGAAACAAGAAGATTTTGCTCCTCTTTCTTCATGGCTTTTTTCACCACTGCTGCTTTTACGACAGCAGCAATGTCAAGGAACGTATCTGAGTGATGGTTAACTGGTGGTCACCATTTCCTACCCTAGAAGTCATATGTAAATATGGGTTCACTAAACAGTGGAGGAGGCAGCATCTGCCACCATATTTTTATTTATTATTAATTTATGTATTACAAGCTTTTCTATCCCCACCCCCACCCCACCACAGAATGTCTCAGGATGGCTTACAATAAATAAATAAATAGAATAGAACAGCCCCACAGCATCCTACCATTAACATACTAAAACCCCAATTAAAATCAATTAAACATTAAATTAACAGAAAATAAAAAGGTGCTTGCCTGATGCTGAAAAGAACATAATGTCAGCACCAGGCAAACCTCTCTGGGGAGTGTATTCCACAGTCGAGGTGCCACTGCAGAGAAGGCCCTCCTCTGGGTAGCCACACTCCTAATCTCCTTCAAGGAGGGCTCTCGAAGAAGGGCCTCCGCCTCAGATCTCAAGGGGTGGGAGGGCACATATTTTTAATCCAGTCATCCTGCTTTTGCTATTCATTTGGATTACACCAGGATACAGCTCTCCATTCCGTACTGTGCAAGTGAAGTAGCAAAATGGAGAAGAAGGCAACTGCCCTCTTCAGAGCACTATTCCACAAGTTCCTGGATTCAAAACCTCAGGGTGGCATGCAGGTATGCATACATGCTTGGGTTATACCAGGGGTGGGCAAAAGGTTGGGGTTCAGCTCCCAGAAGCTCCCTCCAGCTTTGCCAGTGGTCCAGAGTGCTGAGAATTGAGGCCCATGACAACTGAAGATCTACTTTTTGCACATCCCTAAATCACACCATTCAGGCATGTGAACCAGTGAAAATAGTGGAATTTCACTCAAAATATTCCAACTTTACTGAAACCCATTCTGACAATGGCACAAATCCCCACCTTCAGGGGTTTACTGGCTTCCAAACACTCCAGTGCAGGGCAGTATGAGAGAGGCAGTCACAGAGACCATCTGTGAGTGTCTAAGTGAATGGGTGGTTGGCAGCTGCGGTTGGCGTAGCGTCAAAGCTGTGCAGCACTACTTGACCTCCCATATCAGGTGACGGGAACTTTGATTCTGCTCCTGGTAAAAACCAGGACCCAGATACATCTTCAGCTGAACTGAGGAAGGCTGCATCAACGAAGAAAAAGTGTACAAGCTGTCTTTTGTGGTGGTTTCTTTCCTTGCTTGCTTGATTACTGACTTTTCTCTACCTATTTCATCATGATCATCTTTGTTATCATCACCACAGATTTTACATACAGAAGAGAATAGCACAATTTCAATGTTTCAAATCTTCGCTGGTCTTTGAATATATGAAAGGTCTAGCCTATCTCAACTTAATTCTTCCAAAACAAAGGAGTTCACATATGTTATTTCTGCTATAAACCATGTTAGCCATGCATGCAAATTCTAAATCTGTAGTCATCACTGTCTTACAGAGGGAGTGACTTGTTTTCCAAGTTCTTGCCAAGAAAATTATAGCTACCATTAGTAAGTTTATAATCAGATTGTTCATATCAATGTCTTGAACATCTGGAATATAATGCAATAATAATATCTATTGAAATACATTATCTAATTAATAATCTGGGAAACTAAGGTCCAATAGTTTTGCATATTAGCAGACAACATGATAGAAATCAACATCTAGTCATTCTCGGCACAGAAACCTACTTTTTTAATAAATCCATTTTATAAATCCTATTCAGTTTTTGTGGGTTCATATGGCATGTATGTACAATTTAAAACTGAACTTCCTTCAATAAATTGAAAGCTATCTATTCAGTGTATATATTTTGAATTAGGTTCTTTCCGTAATGGGATATTCTAAATCTCTCCACTGTGATTCCTATAACATTATTTTGTTGTCTTCAAACATGTACTAATTTAGTAAAGACTGAATTAGATTTCTTTGGAAAGTATCTTTGTCAGGGGACATTAGCTGCCAAAGTTCCCTTATTTTTGAATCTTTCAAAACTAATTTAAAATATTGAAATATTGATATCAAGGGGACAACTGACTTCCCATGTTATCTGCCAGCTGGTCCTAAGAATTTATACCAAATTCATTAATCATATCCTGTAATTTACATCAATTTTCCCCATTGATTAAAATTATCCCCAACTGTATCAAACTTTTCATGCTTAATCACTGAGAGCAGAGGTGAAGTTTCAGAATGTAATTTTCATTTATAACCAAACAAAACTCTCAAAGTCTACCCTGGGATCATTTTTGCACCAATTAAATGTTCTGCCAGTTCTTTTTTCCTTCTCCTTTTTTCCACCAAGAGGTTGCATCCAAAGTTACAGTAATTATAGTTCCTGCAGGTAATCTGAGTTAAATTTATTTTTAGCAAATGAGAGTTTTATCCATGGTCATTGTTCAGCCACAAAGTAAGATTATAAACAGCCTTTTTATGGGGTTATTTCCTCACTATAAAGTATCCTCCCCGCCACATTCCTATATTCCTAGCTAGTAGAATAAAACTTACCTATGCTATACACCAAACTATATTGTTCAACACAGCTGACAGTTTGGTGGCTTCCTCTGCGCTCCCCATTTTTTGCTTTTGCTGCAGAGATCTGTTCTTTGCACACAGATCCCATGGCACCACTTCAGCAGAGAAACAGCCCTTGCTAATGCTGCCGGAGGCCAGCCTGAACGAACCCCTGCAGTAACAGCACATGTTGGACAATCTGTTCTTCCCCTTCTTTCTTGTGTGACTAAGAAATGAGTACGCGCACTCTAGCTGCACAACATGAGATGCTCAGAAGGAGGTGCATTTCTTTGATGCTGCTTCACTTATGGGCATTCTGATTCCCGCACTTACTGGGCAAAGTGTAAGCCTTGTTGACTCAGTGGGAAAGATGTGAACACATGTTTAACTTTCCAACTCACACCAGTTGGACTTTCAAGTACTTAACTTTGGCTGGATTGAATGTATTCTTTTTATGTTTTTAAGGAAGAATGATATCATATTATATAATGTCAGGTATGCACAGAACATGTTTATTTTAATGCTTGTTTTGCTACCTGCACTGCATTGCATGTTCCAGGCATTTAATCTGAAATTATACAGTTGTTGCAAAGTGCATTGACATACCTGCTGCACACATCAGATCTGAATTATTATTCAGATTTGTTGATCTTTCCCATTCAAAAAGCAGAGACAGCAATGTTAATTATTGAATAATTGAATCTTTTCTTTACCTCACATGCTTAATTAGCATTACTTCACATAGCCTGAGCAAGGAAAAGTCATTGTTGTTTTTACTTATCTCTCATAATATTTGCAAACCTGTCTCTTCAGGCATTTTTCTGCAAGTTCTGTTTTCAGTCATAAATATACTCCTCATTGCTGCCTTTATGAAAATCAAGAATATTCACAGCATCTCAAACTGACAGCACTGTGAGTTCCTAAGGAATGAGTTAGACACATGATAACAGTTTACATCATATGTAAAAGTAGATACACTTACTGGCAACTCTTGAATAATCTTCCAAATCTCATTGCGTCCATACTTTTTTGCAAGCTGTGCTGGATTTTCTCCATTCTTGTTGGCTACTTTGCAAGCCTGAATAGCCTCAGGACATTGAAGAAGAAGAGTAGCAAGCTCTCGGAATCCGAATTTAGCTGCACAGTGGAGAAGAGTAGGGAGCTCTTCCAGGTGTGAATCTGTATGAAGACACACACAATTTTTAAAACTCTGTGATATTGCTACGTTGGGAGCATGGAAAAGTAGCATATAAGTCAGAGTGGACAGCTTGTTTATGACCTGCAAGTCCTATCATCCTTCTTCATTGACTATGCTGGCTACAGCTCATAGGAGTCTCAAACTCTAGAGTCTTCTATTTGAAGGCCTGTCAGAGTACTGTGCTTTACTTTAAGGGCGTTCTTTATTTGAAGGGCTGGTATAAAGATGAAGAAACATCAGAAGGTAGAGCAGGAGGGACCTTGTAGTTGACCATCAATGTTTAGCATCTGGACAGCAAACTGAGCAGGTGAGCCAGCTTACCTGGTTACATTCTTTTACATGATGGTGAGATGCCCCCCTGCTGTGGCCCACCTGCTGCCGATCTTGCCATCTTATTTGGCACCAGGTTCAGATGTTGAAAGGCCATTATGTTAAGGCCTTTCAAGAGATACTTGGTTATCCAGGCACTTCAGGGGATTGTCCAGTGGGTCATTCTTCACTGTATGTTTTGCCTGTTTTTAAGGTTTAATTTCTTTTGATGAGGTGTTATATTATTTTAAGTATTTTACTGTATGGCTTTAATTTTCTGTTGCAGACTTCTCAGAAAGTTTCAGCTACTAGACAGAATAGAAATAAAGTATTTCTATTTAAATTATAGTAATTAGTTCTATATTAATGCATATTAATAAAAAGTAGCATATGGAAATTTGGCGCAAAACTGTGTCCTCTTTTTGGCAATGCAGTTTGGTAAATTTTCTTGTCCCCTTAAGGTGATCCCAGGTACTGATGTCCTATGATACCGAACTGTTACTTAAAAACAGCTAGAGGATCAAACTGCACAGCAGGGCAAAACAAACCCAGGGCTAGTGTCCAGTTTCCTGGCCAGGTTCTGCTGCATTAACATTCATTTAACATTAAGTTAGCATTCCTTTCAAATTGGCAATTATTTGTTTAAAGGTTCTGTTATATACAGAGGATAGGATTTCATAAAAGTTAATGCTGCTGATAAGTAATGGGGATTCTATCATTAAAACAAAATAAACAGAATATCAGTTCCACAGTGTAAGCAAGCCTGATATACATTTATCATCCATGAACTTTACATGCACAGTTGCCCTTTGTTATCTAGTTAAACAGAAGATTTTAAGAGGGGATACCATCTAGTAATCAAACATATAATAGCTTCTTTCCCTAGCACAGAATTATGACTTCAGCTATAATGTGTGGAGACTATTGGTTTGCAGAGCATCTGGACCATTCAGGACTGCTGTAATAGTCATTGTACATTTGGGGATGAGGTTGTAAGCACTGTTGTGAAACAGCAGGTCAAGAGCTTGCACTTCCCTTTCATTTGCCACTTGGGATGCTTGTGTAGAAGTAACCTGATAACAATGGTTTGTTACACAGCTTGTCTTGTTAGCAGCTGGAGCAGGATCAGTGTAGAAAACACAGAGTTCTGGCATGGCACCGTTAGAAAGACATATTTTGACATGGGATAATTGGACAAGATGATCACGATAGCATGGATGGATTTGTAATGGGAACTGAAAAATATTAGCTTTCATTCGTTTCTAAAACTTCTCCACTGCCTATCCAGCCCAAATTGGATGCCAGACTTGCCACACAATGTAGTAAAACAGCCACACCAAATTTGCAATTTAAAATACAGAAACATGATATTTTTTAAAAATAACACTGTTACTCAAGATGCAAAAGAATTAACAAATCCATTTGCCAGCTGATAAAATAAGGTTTGAAACACTTCTCAGATGTCATCTTAAAAGTATGGAAGGAAGTAAAGAATCGGTTGTGCATTTCCTATGTCTGACTTTCACAAATGTACCAACCTTTACAGAACGTATTGACCTAAAAAATGGAAAATATATGTGGGCCTCACCTCTTGATCTTCAAAAGGAAGTGACATTCAAGGATTAATGAATGTGCAACCTGACATATCTTTGGTTTGTATTAGCAGGCTAGTAGTGACACAGTGACTGAGAGGAATCTGATGGATAATCAGCTCGTCATGTGGGAAATCTATTTTGGGTGTAGAAATCCGCTGAACTCCATGGGCTTGGGTCTCTGGTCCACTTTCTCACTGCCATATTTGACTTCCTTGCAAACATGCAGAGAATTTATCTGGGTGCCAACCAGGCAGCCTCCCTTGTCTTTGTGGGGTTTGTGTGTGCAGTGGAAGAAAGTTGCTGGTTTTACAGCAGGAGTTCTGAGAGGGTTCATGGATTTCTTCTCAGATTGGCTCGTATCCTAAGGGATGACTGAAAATGAGAAGAAATCCAGGAACAAAACAGAGCTGGATTCCTGGGAGGCTCATCACAACCCAACTAAGAAAGAAACAAGTCTCCTTTCTCTGCCATGATGGTTATTTCAACTTGCCATGGTTGTCAGACAATCTCCTTGCACAAAGTGGGGCAGGTTCGTGTCCTGAACTATAGTGGGATCAAATCTCAGCTGGGACAATGTGCCAAGCTTCAGAGTTGACCACATTGCTCTTCAGGACATGAATCCTGTTTGTATTATAGGGCAAAGGAAAATAATATTTAAAAAAAATCTGCTTTATCCCTGTAGTACAAACAGGGCTTGGGACCTGAAATGCAACGAGGAAGGTGGCAGAGCTGATTGGTCATTTCTTCTAGTGGTGGACATTTAAGTGTGGAGGAATGGTTAGAGTGTTGGATGGTCCACATCTCAGGAGATCAGGATCTAGTTCCCACTTGGCTATGAAGCTCAATGGGTGACTTGGTACCAGTGACTATAAGCCTAGCATACCTCTGAAGGTTGCTGTGGGGATAAAACACAGAGAATATGGAGAGGGTTATGCAAGCTGCCTTGGGTTCTTTACAGGAAAAAACAGGGAAATAAATTTAGTAAATAAATAAGCAGAAATCATATGTATTTAAGTCTGGCTGGATATGTCCCAATGATATATGCATGGCACACTTCGTTGTATCACTTCAGTATCCAAAATGTAAAGTTCTTTTCACGTCATGGCACAAGATTTCCCAGCTTTCAAACCCTTTCTCTTCTTTATCAGTTCAGAACCCACACATATATTTTACTTATTAAGCAGAATGCATATTTTCTTGCTATTATCAGTTATTGAATGGACAGCCTTCATTTCCCCCTTGTTCAGAACCACTGTAATTACAGATAATTACTACTTTTGACCTTGGAAACTAACATCATCAGTATCAGTGGAGAGAATCTGAATGCCGGCACAGCAATTATCTCAATAAAAACCACAGTTTACCACAGCAGGAGGCTGCAGTGCTTCAGAGTCCAGATGATCTGGATAAGAGAAGCTAGTGAGGAACATCTGCAGATGGTGTGTCCGAGAATCCACCACTTCTTCTTACTTTTGCCAGTCCTGATTCTTGAAACCTCACAGAAAACGTTTTCTGTTTCCAGAGAGAAAGTGACTCTCTAGCACAGCTGAAATGAATGTGTAGCCATAAATCATTCTCAGAATTCCAACTGTCTTTACTTGGTTAGCCATTGGCTGGGATCAACACATCTGGTCTTTCTCTTTAATGAGAGACATACACTGTTTGGAGGCATTTCCCATCCTGCTTTACCCTGAAGGTCACAAATGAAGCCCAAAAAGGGGGCAGAATTTTATACCTTTTGATCAGGTAACTGGAATACTACCTATCAACTCCCTGACACATTAGAAAATACCATAAAATCCCTTAATAAGTGGAACTTGCAACAAAATTTTGCATTGTGGGCCACTCCTGATCAGCATTAGAAGCAACCAGCCGGGCATCTTCTTTCCCAGCATCTCAGTTCCATTCTCCACCCCATTTTCCATGTTCTCTCCAACAATCAGTGTTCTGCATCTGATAAGCATGCTTAGTCCTCATCCCCCTTAAGTATTTTCTAAATTCTTTTGTACTGCTGCAAAAAAAAAAAAAAAGGGGGGGGTCCCCAAGCCTTCTGAAATTCTCCTCTTCCCCTTGCGTATGGATGGTTCTGTTTTAGCTACCTTGTATACAAGGACCAGTACTTAATGAGTTTGCTGCCAGGATATTTGATGAATGGCCAACCTATAAGCCTTTTTCCTGGTAACCAAACAATATAAAGAACAGTCTGTACCATTCTTCTTGTAGTGATCTGTGACTTCATTCAGGAAACTACTAGGATCATGAGAAATTGCTGAACTTTTCAACAAGAATGTGAGAATGCTATCCACTTTCTCTGCTGGTGAAAACTTGCAAGCCTGTGCCAGTGGGGAGAACAAAAAAGAGTAATCAGAAGATAGACACATCCATATTGTTATACCAAACAGAATAGATCTATTTTCATTAGTTTATAATTTGTTTTTATTTATGCAGAAATTTATACCCTACCCTTCTCATGCTAAAGGTCACCCAGAGTTGGTTACAATTAAAATTTGAATACATATATAATTTTAAATTCAAATAAACAATTTAAATTTGAATAGATAAATAATTTGAATAAATAGAGTCACAGTTTAATACAGCAACATACAGTCAGTAAAGTGCAATAAAATATAGAGGGAATATTCCAGGTGCTTTGAATGCTGGAATGACTTTGCTGTGGGAACACAGGACCCTGCTTTATACCAAGTCAGAACACTGACACACCTAGCCCAGTATTATTTTCTGTGATTGACATTGTATTTCCAGAGTTTCCAACAAGGTAGTTTCCCAGCCTTACCTGGACTTTCAAGATTGAAAAGGATACCTTGTGCATGCAAAATGTATACATTACCACTGAACTACAGCGCTTTCCCTCAGGTGCCATGACAACTAGACAATACATAGTTCCCAGAATCCCTCAGTTTTCCAGTAGCCTATGTTAATCCCCTGGAAATTATGGGCATTCTCCAGATTTAGTCATGAGTAGGGTAAGCCTACTGACACCAGTGGATCTTCAATTAGTCATGACTAAATCAAGGTACAATGTAATACTTCCCAGCGGGCCTTGTGTTTGGGATATAGCTGACAATAGCATCTCAGCCACAAGAAGCCCTGGAACCTACAGATAGCAATCTTACTTTGAGAGAAATTCTGCTTCAGTTATAATGCAGCCAAGCATTATGAACGGAATGTAGAAAGCTGCTAGGTTAGACTATTTGTATTGTTTACTCTGAATGGAAGTGGCTTTCTGATGTCTCAGCCTTTCCCACTACTCCTATTAAATGGAGCTGCCAATGATGGTCTCTAGGATGCTCCACATGCAGTCACCTGCTCTCCAGGGTGATGGTCCCTCCTGACTCTGCATCCTAAAGCAGGCACTTTGCTAGTTCACAGTCTTCTCACTTCAGAAATCCTCTCAATTTTACAGAAGGCTAATTGCTGGTTTCTTAGTTCAGGGTTTTAACATCATAATGCAACAAGGGGTAAGAAAACTCTGGAAGTTCTTGCTTTCTCTTTATAGCAATATATTTTTAACAGAACAATAGTGTCCATAGGAGTGTGTGTTTGAAAGGAATTTACTACTGCCCTTAACCAAGTGCTAATAATGTAATGCATCACTTTTTATTAATCCTTTTGTTATGAGTGTAATGCCTTGGGCGGCAGACATGGTAAATTTGTCAAAGGAAAATGAGCCTGTCTGAATTATAAACACTGCTATTATTTTTGTTCTTGCTTTGCAATTACAATATAGACATGTCAAGTGCACTCAGACCAGCCACTATGGGACAAATGATATTTCAGGTCCCTTCTAGTACAATAGATTTTCCTTCCCATTATGTGACATTGAAAGAGGCAGCCTTTGCACTGTGCAGGCTTTTGTTTGGTGCAGTTACCACCCTGATATATGGAATAAGGTATTCAAATGGAAATGCACAAACTTCTTAAAAGCTTAAACTGCTGCATCCTATGTAAATACACACACACACACACACACACACACACACACAAAGAAAGAAAGACAGAGAGCACGCACAACTTTTCAGAGAAAGCCCTAATTGATTAATGTGATCGATTGCTCTGTGAATTACATATTTACTTGCAGATTCCTGAACACTTGGAATGGCCTGTTGAGAATGGATTTTCAATTGTGAGGACATTGGTGTATACAACCTGGATACATTTCTTTATTCAATTACTGAAAATAAGCAAATATCTTCAAAAATTGGATTAACACAGGAGAGCAATGCATCCAGGGTGTCCATTGCACAAATAGGGCACTCGGGAGAAAAGGCCATCCCAGTGCTGGCTTCAAGGGTAGGCAGGACCTGTTCCTCCTCTTTATGGCTGCAAGCTGCCCCTTGGCCTGGCCTAATGATGGTGCCAAGAGGTCCCAGCATGCTCACTGGCTGTTTGCGAGCCAAGCAAGCAGGGGGTGGCCACAATGAGAATGAGGATGAAGAGCAATTGCAGCTGGGGATGATGGTGGGGAGAAGGTAGAGATGAGGCTCATTGGGTGACATGGGTTTATTGTGCTGTATGTACTCCCAACACAAAGCAGAGCCTTCATTGTATGCAGGTTTTGGGACAATCATCACACATCGAGTGTGTTTATGCAAGAAGCCGAGTATTTCTAAATAGTGGCCAATGATCTGTCAAGGCATCAAAGTATTTATTTTAGTGCAGTAATAGTTCAAGGAATATTTTGTGAACAAGAAAAGTAGGAAGCCTCTTTAGTTGCTCCATGGACCTGAAGCATGCCAAGAAGCATGTTCTGAACTTGATCAGACCTTGGTAATCTTGACCAAGAGCAAAATGATGGAAGAAATGCTGATTTTTAAAATGCATAAGCTGGAAAGCCAGTGTGGCATAGTGGTTAAAAGTGTGGACTGGCAACCCAGGAGATCCTGGTTCTAGTCCCCGCACAGCCATGGAGCTCGCTGGGTGACTGGAGGCCTGTCACAGACTCTCACCCTAACCTACCTCAAAGGTGGTTGTTGTGATGATAAACTGAAGAGGAGGAGAACCTTGTAAGCCACCTTGAGTTCTTTGTGAGAGGAAAAAGGCAGGAGTTGAATGTAATATATTAATGATTATTAATAATTATTAATTAATAATTAATAATTTCTTTTGAAAAGCTGTGGCAAGCATGGGCTGCCCTCCAAAGTGCCTTTGGGGCCCTTTGAATGGACTGGCTTTAGTTACCAAAACTACAGCCTGACAGCCAGATTTCACAATTTCTCCTGCCACCCCCAAAGACGAAGTAAAAAGAAAAAAATGTTGCAGAGAGTCTGAAAGCGATTCATGATCACACTGTGGAAGGAGAAAAGCTTGTTCCCCATGATGCCCATGGGAGGACTGAGAGTGGAAGGACTCACAGAGTCCAATAACTCACAGAGAGTCTGGCTGTTTACTGGGGCTCACCATGGGTTGCTCACACCATAGTCCACCCACTGTGCATTACTGCCAGGGTAGGTTGTTACAGAGGCCCAGTTACTGCCTCTTGGCCTAACCTGTTGAACAAGGTTGTTGTAAGGATAAAACTCTGTGTGTGTGTGTGTGTGTGTGTGTGTGTGTGTGTTCCTCCCCTTATTGTAGAAAGGTATTTCACATTCCTGCTGTTTCTATCAAGGCTGTGATTTATATCTATTCTTAAAATAATGCTTTCTTGTAAATTTTCTTCAGGAGGAATAGAACTGTTAGACTGTGAAACCATAGTGCATTTAGGACAGGCAGCAATGAATAGCAGTGAAGGAACAATGGTGCATTTTTACATGCTGAAATGTTACATCTAGGCTTGTTATCCATTGATTACTGAGGAAGGGCTATAATACACATCGGTTTTGTGTGCTGTAGGTTCCAGGTTCCATCCCTGTCCTTTCCATATTGGAAAAGCCTCTGCCAATCAGAGCTGAGGTGGAAAAACCAATGGTCAAATTCAGTAAAGGACTGCCTTCTCATGTCCCTATTGATCTATTCCTCATTGTTAGCATTATTCTGTCAACGTACCAAATAGACAGTACAGTGAACATGCTCTTATCTCATTGGCACATCTCTTCCCACTCCCTGCTTTATTAACTTAATGTAGAGATCAGCTTACCTGACAAGCGAAGGCTATTGGATTAGCAACTTTCTGAAGCATGCGGTCAATCTCTCCAATTGTCGTGTAGTATTCAATCTGTGTTGTTGCTTTAATGACTCCCTCACAGTAGACGTTTACATTTACAAAGCCAGCAGGAAACTCTTATAAAGCAGAAATTAGGAAACACAGAGGAAAGGGTGAAGAACCACTGCCAATAACTTTCCACTCATCAAATTCTGTACATAAGACGAATCTTCCGAAAGCACTTCCATTTTGAAAATGATTCTCTCCCCTGCCTTTGTCTTTGGTATACACCAATAATAAAAAGAGAAACATAACAAAATACCTTCTTTTTAGAGGTTTGGTGTATCAGATATTTTAATTTTCGGTGTCTTTATATGTCTGGTACAAAAATACCTGCTTTATTTGGAGATTTACTCTCATAATCTTGGAGGTATGTGTATTACTTCACCAACTGCAAAATGTTGCAAGCAGCTCTTTGGCTGTCCAGTGCTTGAGCTTATGCCCTGAAGTCCTGCTTTGATAGTACCACCGGAGACTTCTTAACAAAGCATTCAAGGGGGGAAAAACAGCTTTCTGTAGGCCATTGAACCTAAAAGTCCCTTATCCAAGACCAATCAGTCCTCATAATCTGGCAACTTGAGTTGAGTTGACACTGTATGTAGAGAGAATCCTGAACAAGAATGTCTCTTTCATAACTCAAGTCCTGAGATTTGTAACAGTTTGAATCACTCTGTGTGTGTGTGGTGGTGGTGGTGGTGGGGGACTTTTTGTTCACGAAAGGAAGACAAAATAGTAGTACTGGTATCATAGTACAAAAGTGGTACTGGTATTAAACATCAGAGGGAAGTGGCTGAAGAGGTTAGCATAAATGATGATCGAATGAATGACTCGAAGAGGGTGGTGGCAGGGTAAACACCCATGCCATCTCTATGGAAAGCAAGGGAAGATCTTGCTAAGCTTCATGTCAGGGAATATGAGCTTGTGCATTTTATAGGAGGAATAGATTGAGAATAGCAGGCTATGACTACTCAATGACATTTTAAAGACAGCCACCTGCCACTTTATCATGCAAAAACAAGCCCATAAATTCTGCTTCTCATAAGTCACAAGCTTTTATGCTTGTGTATTAATAAAGATGCATCCGGCAGTCAATGTCCATGTGCAACAAACACCTAAAAATTATATTGGATTCTGATGGGAATCAAAAACAAGCAAGCAAGCAAGCAAAAAACAATACAAATGAAGGGAAGTGTTTCAAAGGGAAAGTGACAATAACCAACCAACCAATAAAGGGAAGACAATAACCAACATGTTATATTAGACATTCTGTTTTCCAAACTTACCTAAAGCTTTCATGCACCTGACCTTCTGGTTCCAAATTTCTGGCTCAGTCCTGATCCAGTCATTTTCTGTAATGAACTCAACAACCACTGAATCATCAGGGACTTCATCTCTCAAAAGAATGAATATTTCCTCAGGACTCTATAAAGTAAGATGCATATCTAATTAGCCATTTATTTATTTATTTATTTATTTATTACAATTGTATAATATACTTATCTGTTTCATTACATCAATAAATGAAGCATAGTGCAAAATTCAAGTTTTCCGATATATTGCTTGAAAGATGACTGAGAGATGCCCTTTACATGATCATGTAAAACAACTTCATGTCTTCCATGAAAACCATGAAGCCATTGTACACGCTTGACTTTATTTTCTTGACTGGACAGGATAATGCTTACCTGCAAGTGGATAATTTAACATCTATTCCCTGGCCATGGTTGGATCACTTCCTACTGATAAATGATAAATGGATGAATGGACTTGAGAAATGAAACAAGGAAAGGTCATTCGTATTGGATAAATATTACAAGGGTGGACTTTTTATCTTTGCTTGCTTTTCTTGTTTTCTCTCCCTGCATCCAGCTTGTTACAGTAGATCTTACCTCACATGATATTCTTGTTGGAAGCACTATGGCAGCTGGTCTTGCCAGTGTCTCAGAGACCTTTTCAGTTTCCACCCTTCTGTCTGCTAGCTTCAACTCACTTCTTAACCCCATAGACAAAGAGCCATGTGGACCTGTAGAAGAAATCATATTATGTCCCATTGAGTTCAATGGAGCTTAGCAAGTAGGTGAACACAAGGCTGCAGCACAAGCAATAACATCTTATATAAGCAATAAGAATCTTATCCTATCTCCCAGGCACCCGTGGAAGGTGATTTGCAATAGATTGACAAAGTCCAGCAAGCTAACAGCAAAACCATTTCTTCTGATCAGGCTTGTGCTAATTGTTTATCCCCCAGCTCAGTGTTCTTCACAAGTTAATATGTATATTAATTGTTTGCCTTTGAACAGATGTCTTCATGCAACACTGCTGACCAGTTTAGAGTTTTGCATTCAGATACCTGATTTGTCATGCGGCTGTACATTGTGCACTTGTGGGTGGGCTCACTCTACGGTTTATAGTGTACAAAACAGAACTGGATCCAGCCCCTGAACCACCATTTTGCACTGGGTTCTTTCTCTAGCCATTGTTTTCTCCTAGTTCTGGTTGGCTTTTAGTAAAGGCCAAATGAGATCCCACGAACCTGCAATATGATCAGCCTGGCTGCGTACAAAAAAACAGGTTCCAACTTCCCAGTCTGCTTTTCCAGTATAGCATAGCATAGCATAGCATAGCATAGCATAGCATAGCATAGCATAGCATCATACTTCCTTTGATCAAGAAATAGGTGGTGGCTTGGTTGGAGAAGAGCAAGAGTTTGTAGCTCATTAGGTTTGGGTTAGAAAACAGACAAGTGATCACTAGGAGGAAAGGATAAATGAGTTTGAGAGAGGAGACTGAAAGAAACCCAAAATTCAGGGCTTTTAACTGAACACGATCATTTCAAGTTAATATCAAGATGTCCAAGTCTAGTGGGAAGCTCTTACACTGTATGAAACCACCTCAGAGTACCTAATTCCCTTTAGTTTGGGCCACTCAGGATGTAAGATTGTTTAATAATTCAGAGTATTTCTATGTGTGATGCTAAAGATGTTATTTTGAGTTGCTCACAAAGCACTAGAAGAAAGTTGACAATTTGATGAGGGCAAGAAGAGTTTCTTAGATCATCACGTAAGAATTATTTATTATAGACATCCTTATTTTGTACTTATTTAGCTGAGGGAAGTTTAGTCCTGTCTTCAGGTAAACAAATCCAGGAGTTACTAATCTAATTAAAACACCAGAAAGGGGCTGGTGGACCACTTTTTGCCTGCAAAGGCAACATCTGGGGTTTCATGTCTGCAGGCACACCAACAGACAGACAGACAGACAGACAGGTCCATTCAATATTCCAGTTGCCACAGGACAAGTGGGTGGACCGAGCAATGCAACTTGTATAATATTCAGTACAATAACTTAAGCTGCAGTATTTGCACACATCTGTTCATGATCCTATTGCTTCCCTGGGAAAACCACAGTCCCTTTCAAAAAAGGCATTGAAACATACTGGAGATAAACACATCTTCACCATCATATAGCTGAATAACTGAAGACTAGGGACAATGCATCTTATTCAGATATTCCTATGGCATGTGGCATTGTTAAGGTAAATGATAGATAAAACCATTTCTTGTCCAGAAATGTGCTGTTCAAAACTAGCACATAATAGCTCTATTTTTCCATAGCCAATGCATACATACTGTAGGAGTTGCACTTTGAATAATGGGTCCGTATGCACATCTTTTCATGGAAGATTCCAACATCTGAACTCATTAGCAGTACCTAATGATGTTTAAACTGTAGTTTAGCTGGAAACAAAATGGCAAAAATGATTGCTCAATGTCCTTGGGGATTAAGGTACTCCTGGTGAAAATTATAGTCCAACACAAAGGGTAATGCTCTGTTAGGGCCATTTCTGGCATTTTTTGACAAATATTTATTGCTGTTCTTCACACCTAAAGAATTCATCTCAAGTTGCACTTTATATCACAGTAACCAAAGATTAGCTTGGTATCTGCTACATACATTTACTGTAACAGTGATTCATTTAATTGGGCATTGTGCTGATGCTTTGAGTTTTATTTCAGGCTCTCTCCTTAATTCATTTTACACAGCACTTCATTTTGAACAGCCTTATGCCAAAAACACTTGGATTTATTTATTTATTGCATTCATTGTGTTTGCATTTGGATCGCATACATTTGCATACATTTTGTCAAGCTTTCCCTTCGTTTTTGAAGCCTATATGGACAATGTCTTTAAAACATGCTCACAGAGGGTCTATATGCTCATAGAAGTGGCTCATCCCACTTGAGCAACACAATCCTATATATGTCTACTCAGAAATAAGTTCCAGTGAATTCAGTGGGCCTTTATCTCTGGCAAGTGTAGCAGTCTTTACCTGGACATGCATTCCTGACAAATTTGCCTTCACTTTTTCATTCTAGGTTTGCCCTTTCCTCTTTAGTATGTCTTGGACCAATGGCACCATCACAAAAGTAGTAAACAAAACTGGAATGTCCAAAGCAAGGTTTAATAGTTGTTAGACAGAATAGAACAATTTCTTTTATCAGGTGCCTATATTGGGAAGAGAAAGTATAACTATGAATATCTGAGAAATGATTAGATTGGTTTTTCATTTGGATGTGAAAAACTTCCTTTATCTCAATGTACTTGGTAGAAGCATTGATTCAATTGAGAGGTTAATTATATCAAGATTATTTAATGTTAGCCTCACTATTTAAGTCAAAATTACTATTAACGTTTTAATTAATCCAATTTAAATATTAAAAATCAACCTTTTCTACTCCGCTTTATTTCTTAACTAACTTTTCTGCCTTGCTTGTCCCAGCTCCTCTACCACATCAACTCAGAACAAGAAGATTTATTTCTACGGTGAACAGCAGCAACTGGGGGTGGTCCAAAGCTCTAAAGCTCAGCAGCGAGCACTGAGGGCTGCTTCCCAGCAAAAGATTCCAAGTGCTACCAATTGGAAGGCACTTTAGTGCGATTCAATCTTTTCACCTTAATGGATTTTCTGAAGTAAGAAGAAAGATGGATGAAGTGGTGGCAAAATACTGGAGGTTATGAGTGGACCAGTCATAAAATTCACTGAACAGAGCAGCACAATGGTGCAGTAAAAATCTCATCTGGAAGCACACTTGGCCTCAAAAAGACTCAACTTTGCTACATAACTCTGTGGTGACATAAAACTGCGTATGAGATAATTCTCACTTTAATTATTGGAATTAGGTGTCATAAATCCCCATACAGTCACCTGACCTTTTTCATCACTTCCAGATCAAAACAAATCAATTTTTTTCACATCTGCCTGTACCTTATATTTTCCCAAAGGATTCCAGAGATCATATTATTTTCTGTTTTCCAACTTGCATGCTGACTTTTCTTTCCTCTGGGCTTTGCACAATTCACTTTAGTCAATCATTCAGCATTGATTCACTGGCCCCAGTGCATTCCCCATCTATCTTTGCTTTATTGGATATACTGTTTACTTTTTTGCCATTTGTCTTGTCAGGGCCTTGTTCTATACCTTTCAGTGTTGCTGTTTCACCTTTTCATTTTGCTGTTGTACTTCAGATGGGGTCAGCTTTCATTCTTCATCCATGAGGTCAAGACTGCATTACCCTTCCTTTTAAAGTCTTATACAACCCTAGGTGCTAAAATCTATTCCATGAAAAACACATTTGCCTTCTTTTTCTTTTTTAAATCTAAGGCATTTCACAAAGTGTCCCTTTATAGTGCTTCTATCAATCACTTTGCCAAGTCAGCAAGTCATGTTTAACTCAGATCTCAGAATGTCTTGAGAACTTGCATAGTGCCATGTCCAAATTGGTATCTACACATGAAGCAGAATGAAGTAGGCACACAGTCTGGGAACGGAAGGGTGGACTGAACCAATGCAGGAGCAGGTTCAGATTTTTAAGTAACAGCTACATAAAAATAGAGATATCCTGGAATGTAGGACCTAGCACTATGGAGAAGAAAGCTCATCTTTCTTCTTCCTTAATGGGATAATTTTTTAACCAACACCTCTGCCCCCTCTTTCAGCTTCCTTTACCTGATTTGGCCCAAGCTATTGGACTGTGAACTGTGATGTCTCCAGTTCAAATCTTGCATCAAACATGAATATACACAGTTTTCATTATTGCTGCATTGATGGGAAGGGAAGCAAAGATGACCTGTGCAAGATGATATACACTTCAACTGAAACCAGTGTGAACAAGGATTTGAATAGGCATTACATGACTTAGACAAATGTCTGTGCATTTGAACAGCATGATGTGCAAGCAAATCATTTGCAGGCAGTATTTGAAATAATACAATATTCAATGTTCCTAGTGGAAATCATGTGTCTGTTTTCACAACAGTTGTGAACTTGCAATAACAGGGTGTGGTAAGAGGGTAGCATAAGCCATTCAAATATTTTTGAAGGATTACCTTGAGGACATGACTTTTCCTTCATCTAGCCATGCACATTTTTGCATTAAGGTAAAATCAACCTGTACAGTTTTGTTGTCATGCTAGAGCTTGCTTCCAAACAAATAACTTTTTTTCAATTTCAGAATTGGGTTAGACTAACAAGTAATGCAATATCCTATTCTTCAGTGAATCTAAGTTTTATCTGCCATCCTATTAGGTATAGATTTACTGCTCATCAGAAACCTGTATGCATAGGAAAAACATTCAGAAGGTATGCAGTTATAAAGACGGATGTTTGTAGTAATTAATAGCCTGTTCAGATTGTCATAATGCATTGACAAAGACCAAGAGGTACAATAATACATGACTCCCTGACTAGCAGAAAATAATGTACTCCTAATTGTCATGCATTGACAAGGTCTGAATTGATGGCTACATTCCTCAGGGCTTATGTAAGGAGACTTCCTGAAGAGCTATTGAGTTGTCCAAGGCTTTCTACCACTAGATGGAGCAGTGGAAACATCATATTGCAACAGATCTGTCCCATGCCAGCAGCTTCCTTCCTCCATTTGTCGGTAAGGAAATATTTCCATTCTCTGGATCACCCTGTTCATCAGGGGAAACAAGGAGGGGCACCAGTTTTGCCAGCCCAGA